CACCCACAACTAACGATGTTGCAAGGATTCTGAACATCGATGGACAACGTGGTTTTCCAAGAATGCTAGGCAGTATAGACTGCATGTATTGGAAATGGAAAAATTGTCCAACAGCATGGGCTGGACATTATGCAGGTCGTTGTGGATTCCCAATAATTATTCTTGAAGTTGTAGCTGATTATGACCTTTGGATACAGCATGCATATTTTTGTATGCCCAGCACCAATAATGACATTAATGTTTTAGAGTCATCACATTTGTTTTTCAATCTTGCTAAGGTATTGCTCCTCCCGCCCACATGTTTCTCAAGAAAAAGAATATGATGTGGGTTATTATTTAGCTGACGGTATATATCCAAAATGGTCTACCCTTGTGCAAATTATTCGTGAGCCACGTTCGCCAAAGAAGAAATATTTTGCGATGAAACAAGAATCATATCGAAAAGATGTTGAACGTGAATGCAGAGTTTTGCAAGCTCGTTTTGCAATTATTGCAGGACTGTCACATTTTTGGAGAAAAGAAGTGCTACATGATATAATAACTACATGTGTTATACTGTACAACATGATAATCGAGGATGAGCGTGATCTTAATGCACCAATTCAAGATGCTTGGGAAGGTTCAACTCCAACAGTAGAAATGATAGTAGGTGAAAATCACTGATTTGAACAATTTTTAGGTTGACACAAAAAAATTGAGGTTAAAGATGCTCATTTTGCACTTTGTAATGCATTAATAGATCATTTATGGGAACATACTCGAGGTGAAAATTGAATATTTAAGTAGTATTTAAACTAAATTCTAAACTACTTGTAATATGTATTGAATTATCTTGTATGTCAATGATTTTACTTTGATTTGAATTATCCATTGATATGTATAATTTATAATATTTGCTTACAAATAATATTATTTAAAAATTTATGGTATAAAATAATTTTATTTTAAATGGTTATATAAAAAAGAAATATGAATTATATGATATGAATATGTGAAAAAGAAAAAAAGATAGGATTTGTTTAATGGAAATAAGAAAGTAAAATTTAGATAAAAGATAATAATATAATATAGAAGAGAAGAATATAAAAAAATATTTTTTTTTAGAGTGAAAAATGGAGTAATGGTTGAAGTTAGTTTACTCCACTTTGAAGTAAAGATTTGAAGTGAAAGGTCGGAGATGATCTTAAAGAAAGTATCTATTTATTAATTGTTACTAAAAAATAAATAATTTTCAAACCAATTTACACAGTCAAAAGTTCCCTTCACCTTATATTGGAATAGTTAATTAAATATAATTATGAAATTCGATTATTATTTTGTGATAATTAATCCACTTACGAAAAAAAGCTCGAGTTTTAATCATATTTCATATATCCAGTACCTAGAATACTTGAATTTCACTTTTCTGACAATTCATGTGCATTTTGATAGTTAAATCGGTCTTATTTTTATCGTTCAGACATTAGAGTGAGTTTTGATCGTAAAAATTGCACTGGACGCCCTATTTGGTCGCCCCCATTTAACCTATATCTATTTTTTTTAAAAAGTTTAACTTATACCCACTTTTTAAACAGCTTCAGCCCCCTTTCTCCTCCTCCTTCTCCTCCTTCGTTTTCTTCTTCTTCTTCTTCTTCTTCTTCTTCTTCTTCTTTCTTCTGCTGCTATTGGTGCTGCTATGAAACTTCAGTTCATGGGATGATTGCCATAAGTATATTTATCAGATTATTTAAAAACAAATTATAAATAATTACGTAAGTTAGTAGACAAAAATTTGTGAATATTTCCACGTACGGGAAGTTTAAGGTCACACTTAGTGATTCTTTTCATGATAGTTCTGTTCTTTTCACGTTTATATGTTTCCAAAATTTTATGATTTAGATACTGTTGGCAATCTGAATATTTTATAGTAGTCTGATTATAACAAAACTAATGAATTCATGACCAAAAAAACTTCAGCTTATTTAGTGCTGAAGTTTTTACAAATGAACTAAATAACTTCAGCATCTTCTGTTGAAGTTTTTGAACAAGCTTTATGACAAAACTAATGAATCCAGGATAAAAAAAAACTTCAGCTTATTTAGTGCTGAAGCTTTTACAAATGAACTAAATAACTTCAGCATCTTCTGCTGAAATTTTTGAAAAAAGCTTATCCAGGACAAAAATACTTCAGCTTATTTAGTGCTGAAGTTTTTATAAATGAACTAAATAACTTTCTTCTGCTGAAATTTTTGAAAAAGCTTAATGACAAAACTAATGAATCCAGGACAAAAAAACTTCAGCTTATTTAGTGCAATTACAAACAAAAATTTCAGCAAATAGAGAACAAAACTTCAGCTACTATGCTTAAGTTCAGCAATTACAAACTAAAACTTCAGCAAATAGAGAACAAAACTTCAGCTACTATGCTTAAGTTCAGCAATTACAAACAAAAACTTCAGCACACTTGCTACTTCAGGCCCGTCTACTAGAATGCTGAAGTTTTGCGTGATTGCCTTTGCCACTTCAGCCCCGTATGCTGAAGTTACGCGAAAAAGTGGGTACGCTTGCAATTTTTTTTGCAAAACGGGCACAAGTTAAAACGTGACCCAAAAAGCGGGTATAGATGCAAATTCCCCGTTTTGATACCTAAAACCAAACTAGGGGGTTGGCGGCTTACAAAAAAGAAAGAAGGAAAAATGAAAACAGAATCGCTCAACGATTGGGCAAGGGGCCTCATTAGAGCTGTCAAAACGGGCCAGCCCAGTCCAGCCTAGCCCAAGCCCCGTGGGCTTTTAAATTTGGTAGGCTATAACGGATCGGTCCGTCACATGAATGGGCCTTAAAATGGCTAGCCCAACCCAGCCCTAAAAGGATCGCGGGCTAGGGCGGGCCGGTCCTTCAATTATTTTTTAGAAAAAAGAATTTCTTTAAATCCTTAAATATTTTTTCCTGACATAGTCGAATAATCATGTAAACAACTTCTATTTGCTTAGAGCGTACAAAAATGTTGATATTTGACGAGGAATCTCGTAATTGAAATGCAAATTCTCTATATTTCTAGCTATTCTTTTTTATAGTTACATGAATATTTTCTTAATGTTTTTCTTTCATATTTCTCAGATTCAGGGATTGCTTCAATAACTTTATATGCTGAGGCTTTTAATTTAGGATTAACATCATTTGCTGATTTCATCATTATAGTCCATAAAAAATTTAAAATTCTTGAAATTTTCTAGTGGTCAATATTTTTGGTGTATTTAAAAATGATCTTTTTCTATACTGAAGAGCAGTTTGAATATTAATAATAGGCAGAATGGCCTAAATGACACTTATACTTGTCCCACTTTGTCATGCCTGTCCCCAAACTTCACTTGTTTTCATCTAGACACTTTAACTTGATAAAAACCTATTATTTAAACCCTTCTGACCGTTGACCAAGCACATGTGGCAAAATAATGGTTGAGCTGGACAAGTGGGTGTAATTCACGCAGATAATGAGCGTGAGTTTGAGCATTTTGAACTAGAAATAATTAAAATAAGAAGAAAAAATCAGTAAAATAAGAATAAAAAAATAAAATAAGTAAAAAAAGAAAAAGGAAACAGGTGAATCCAAATAACTGAAGCAACTAGGTGGATTTGTTCTTCCCCATGCTCACCTTTCTCTTTCTCCTTACTTTGATTTAATACCCAAGCGTATTTTTCCCCCGACCAAAAAGTTGCAGGATATTCTTCCTCAATATTCACTAGTTGGGCCCTGATAATTTGGAGAATTTGAAGAAGCTAGTAGAGCAGTTCCACAAGCAAGCACCTATTGCTGCCCCATCTACCGGGGCGCCTGAAGGTGTTGCTGCAGATAATGAGGTGCCGGAACTTGTGGCTGGCCAAACCTTTGAAGCAGTCGATGTAGAGGAGGGTCACACTTCCTAAATTTTTAATTGAATTTTGTATCAACCCCTTCTCCATCTCAACGTTTTGAGATCCCTTTATTTAGATGAGTGTTCTATTTGATTTTGATTGTGACAACAAAAAAATTCATGAAAATGGTTTTTGTAGTAACCCCCCNNTCCGTTTTTGTTCCCCATGTAAGCTTCTTCTTCTTCTTCCCCACTGACCCCCCCCCCTCCACAACACCCTCTCATGGCTAAACTCTGTTACCTCCACACTCCTTTTCTGTAACGGCTCATTAGCGGAGGCGTGAACCACGGAACCGTCGCAGACAACCTCCGTCGCCGACCCAAGTCGTCGCCATCATCAGGGACCAAACCTAAGCGGATAAGTATAAAATGAGGGGAAAATTTGGGTTGGGGTTAATAATCATTTCCCATTTTATTTTCCTATGTGGCCATAATAAATGACTTGGAGCCTATGTGGTTTAATTTCTTGACGTGGCGTCCTACGTGTAGGAGATTGTATTACACATACTGATAGTGTCGTGTCATAAGCGTTTATTATTCACGGTTTAAAGGAGTGTAAGTGTTCAATTGGCAAATTGTTAAGTTTGGGGACCGGCATGACAAAGTGGGACAAGTATAGGTGTCATTTAGGTCATTCTGCCTTAATAATATATTAAAGTAATCCAAACTGATCATTGGCCACTTAAAGTAATATTTTCTTTTGAAAAAGGATTATTATTGGCCACCTAAAACTTTTCGAGTTCGTTATTAATTAAGCAAAAGAAAAATTAATTTTGTCATATTACATGCATGTCAAAAATTTAAATTCTAATTGATATGGAAAAGTAAATGAGAAATCTAGGGTTGGGGAATGGGGATTACAGTTAATAGTTTTTTATGTTTTTACTTTTTTTAAATATTAAATATTTAATAGTTAATTAATTTTTGGCCCACGAGCTGATCAGACCCAATCTCGATCAAGTCTCAAAGATCAGCAGACTGACTTGGACCGGACTTATAAGCTTCAACTTTAAATGGGCTTAAAAAATTCTAGCCCAACACTAGCCAAATAGTAAGCTGGTTGGGCTGGCTTCCCGGGCCAAGCCCATTTTGACCGCTTAGACCTCATGCCATTAACGAAGAAAAATGAGAAAAACCAAAAAAAGTTGAAATCGCGGGGATTTGTTGAATTACAGCGGCGCTTTCTGTGTCCCATCCCTCCAAATTGGAGCAATCTAAGAAGCAAATGATACAGTTTTAAGGTGTTTACACGGGGTAAAGTGTTGATAACTGTTGCCGTTGTTCCTCAGTTGTAATTCCTCAATCAGCGGAAACCGAACCAACCAATGGTAAATTCTATTTTATCTCATTAGTTTAATGTTTATGGATGAATTTATGAAACAATACGGATACGTGATTGTTGTGATTACTGGTTTCCACTAAAGAAATAAGGGAACAATTATAAGAAGCTAAAATGGGTGTTCGTGTGATTGTAACCTCAATTTATGGAGCCGAGAGCTGACATACTTCAGCTAGAAATTCCTTTTAAGTTTTAACTGACTCTAACAAACTAGAAATCAAACAGACTCTAGGGATCAAGTGTAAATAGATAAAATTCCGACTAATGTTACGATTAATTTCTCTATTTGTGCAGCTTTTGTAAGATATGGCCAAAATTTGTTCATGGCTAATCTTGAAGCCAAAGTATCTAATCTTGGAGCCAAAGTATTCAATCTTGGAGCCAAAGAATAAAATTATTTTCTTTTATTCTTTTTTCTTTACTTGGGACCAAGAACTTTTCCCTATAAATATAGGCCATCTTACTTCATTTGAATCATCCCATATTTTGATTAGAAACTCATTTTGAGTATTCTTGTAATAGAGTGTTTTATTATATTCCATAGAGTTAGTGTTGGGAAACACTTTGAGTGAACCTCTTGCTTGTGAGTGATTGTAGCGAGGGTATTATCTTGGGATATATTTTAGGATAATTAGAGTTTCATCTTAATTTTGTACTCTCTTTTGTGTGCCTGTTGTTATAGTGAAATTGCTCCTCTCCGCTTGTGGATGTAGGTCATATTTTTACCGAACCACGTTAAATTTGTGCCTTCTTTATATGCTTTAATTGTCTTTATTATCAACTTGCATTGTCTTTGTTATTGTCATTATAACGTTGTTTGGCTAAATTCCACACTACCCGGATTCCCGATCCTAACAGCTTTGTTGCAAGAGCTTAAGTTATGTGCACTGACAGTTTAAAGATATCTTACACTAATTTATGTTCGTGTAGAGAGCTACCTGCGTTTGCCTATTAAGTGACCTCATGGTGTAAATCTTTTCTGAGTGTTCTTTTGGTCTAAACAGGAAGTTCCTTACTGTATAGACGATTAGCTTGGTTCTTGGAGAGCTTATGCGTCCTTCTATTTAATGTTTTTATAATAAACCTAACACCATCTTGGTGTAAATTAATTAAGTTTTTTGAGTTTTCTGATTTTCATCAAAAGACAAATCACTTTATGTCTTTCAACTATAAATAGAGCAGTTATCTCTTTCCCGAAAATAAAAAAAAATGACAGAGGCTTCCACAGGCCATAGAAAGAAGAAGCGCACTAGGAGAAGAAGAAAACAAGAAATGGAGGCTTAGCAGCAGAACGTGATTCTCTACTTTCCCCAAGGGAGAAAAGAAAAGAAATAGAGGGGAAAAAAAGGTGCAGGCAGTTTAATGTTTGCCAAAAGAAAAAAATAAAGAAAGGAATTAGAAGAAAGAAGAATTCTGTGAAGATCTCTCTTTCCTGCACTTCTTCCGACTGAGATCGTTGATGATCTTCTCACATTATTTGTTTTCTATTGTCTTCTCAACTCTCATGAGTATGTCTCTTTTTCTCCTGCAGAAGATTTCCTTTTTCTTTCCTGGATCCTAATTTCCCCGCCTTCGAACCCCCCTTTTTTGGCTTGAAAGATGCGCATGCTAAAGGCCTTGTGCCTTAACCCAGGTGTGTGCTTGTTAATCGTTTTTATGCAGCACCTCGACTAAGTCTGGTGAGGCGCCATTTCTGCTCTGTCGGTTGCCTCAGCACCTGAAGCTTGGCTTTGGTTTTGTTGGAGGCATGTTGAAAATGTTCAAAGTGTTAAGTTCTAATTTAGTGACGTCCTATATTGAACGAACATTATATTGTGTTTTGTTTGAGACCTATAAATATGTTTATTCATCAAATTATCTTGTCATCAATACACGTCTTTTCTTATTCTTCACAAATAGTTTAGATATACATGTTGTGCTACTGGAACTTGTTTTCATGACCATTTTCCATAGGGGTTTAGTAGTATAGGTGGAATGTTTTATTGAATAGGCTTCATAAGTTTCTATTTTGTTCATTCGGACATGTTCCCCTGGTGCTGTAGTGTCTTTGGTTTTGTTTCTGCATTGACAACTTGTGTTTGCTGATGAAAAAATGAAACCTAAAACAATTGTCTTGTCTGGGATGATATGTTTGGCTTAAAACATATAGTATAGCTATCAGATCGGACCCTCGTTGTATCGAAGGAGGTTTAGTCTAATCCGTTTTGGGGAAAAATTTACTCTGTACAAGGTCCACTGAACACAGGCGGATTTCGAAATGCTGGCAAAGGAGTTCAGCCGTTGGGCTTATATCGTGCATTCGAATACATTGGAACCTTTGGTTTTTTCATTTTCAATTTTAATGTCCCCAGCCGCCTTTCTCCCACTCCCCGTGGTCCCGGCCTTTTTCTCTCTAAGGCATCTAAAACTTTCAAAAAGGAAAAGGAAAGAAAAGAAAACACAGATGTCCAAATTTTGTGTTATGTTTAGTTCAACAGTCTGCTACCGCATCTCCCTGCTTCGAGCATCGGCTATGCGGTGACATTGTTTTTCTGAAGTATCGAATAGGTAAAGCTTAGTAGTCCTTAGGTCATTATCCTTTGGTATATTTAGCCTATTTTTGGATGCCTTAATGATTCTGTTGAATCCAGTTATTTGGGAACTGTTTCATAGGCTATCATTGAAATATTCTAACACGGGATTTTGGAGAAGTTGATTGATTTTGTGTCTGTTTCTGATTATTGAGTTTTGAGATGTTACGTACTGCTGTGTTTGTAGATTTCTTCTAGTGAAAGGAATAAATGAATGGTGAAATTTTTAGGTGTTGGGATTTATTTGCCCGTGTCTTTACCTTTTAGGACTTTAGACTTCTTGGAATTTTGAGACTCAGATTGGTACTTAAATCGAGGTATGGTGAAATTTTTAGGTGTTGGGATTTATTTGCCTGTGTCTTTACCTTTTAGGACTTTAGACTTCTAGGAATTTAGAGACTCAGATTGGTACTTAAATCGAGGTCTGGGAGTTCAACGGAAAGTATGCATTTGCATTAACCTAAAGTCTATAAATAGTTCAATTTGCTAATTGTGTATGTGTTTAGAATATCAATTAGTAGAATCTTGTAAAGTCTTGCCAATGTTTAAATCGTTAATAGCAACAAGATATAAGTTTTAAAGAAAGAAGGTGGAAAGTAAGTTTTGGGAGACTAGCTGCTATCCTGAAGATTAAGACATTTTTTCTGAGAAGTTTGTGAAGATTAATACAATAATTAATAAAAATGACATCACTTGGAATTGAAAATTTTCATTTGAGTTGAGTCAAAGCAGCCGTTTTGATTTTAGCTTATCAAAAGCAAAAAGACAGAGACATCAAAACCATGTAGTTTGAGCCTAAAAGAATTTGCTTAGGTGGAAACTAAAATGACAGTCTTGCCTTCAAGTTATTAAGAATATGCAGTATATTTTCTACACAAACTATAAAGAATATTTAGGCGTTTATGGTAGCCTTGAGGTTGCTTGTCTGAAATCTTGGGTCCGTCTCTTGATAGCAATATTGTTTATTATTCCCTATATGGTCATGGTTTCTGATATTCTTTTCCATTTCTTGCTTCAGTTATCAATTGAAACAGGCATATCTCTGGTTTGTTAGATGCCACGTCCAAGATTTTGTTCCCTACTCAACCTTATCATATCTAAATATGGGCTATCCAGATGTACACATGTGCAATCCACATGTCTTCTCATATAGAACATAGACACATCAAAGACTTAGTTTGCTTTCTTGCAACATTTTATATCTGTCCTTTAAATTGTGTAAGGTAGGTGGTTCAAAGAGAGCATTTTTTCCCCTTTCTATAATTGAACTTTTGTTCAGGATTGTGAGTGTTGGCAGTCATGTGGGTGAGGCATGCAATGATGTCAAACATTATTGTAGGATGGTATCCCCAAAAGGCTGATGTTAATGTGAGATGGACCAATAAGAGGACGACAAACATCAGTAGCCTCTCTACTGAAAGGGACCCTCAAAAGTTTTTCCTATAAGATTTGTATCAAACTCTATGTCACCATTGGTTCCTTTGGGGACCCTTTTGCTTTGGTGTTGACACGTTTTATTGAGAAGTTGTCCCTTGACTTAATCTTCTTCTGCAGCTTTTTGAAGAGATATTGGTTTTGTTGGTTCAATTGTTTCGGCTGAAAATGCCTTTCATAAATTCTGTTTTCACAAAATTCCAAGCTATGCTGTCTTTTCCTTTAGCATTTTGGAGTTCTTGGAACCTTCTTAATTAAAAAGGTGAAATGGGTTCCTGTGGGCCATTTTACTCTGTATTATGTGGGTGTTAGAGAGTTCTGATATAGAGCATATCAATATCTTGTACTATGTGATAGTAGTGAGTACTATTTTAAAAAAAAAAGGTGCTTTTTTTAAATCTGATTCTAGCCTCAACACTCTCTTTTTGATTTTTCCTTTTGGTTCATGTACTTCTTCTTGATGTTGTACTAGGTATCCAACAGACAACTAGTTTTAACTCATAAATTGACTTAGAAGAATGAATAATTAACAGATCTTGGCCTCTTTGGGAACTTGAAAAGGCAAGATGATGTAAACAGTGATTTTGCATAATGAATTCAGTTACTCCATTATTCATAGGAATTCCTGGGGAAGTTCTGGATCTTCCAGTCTGGAATTTCCCTACTGGTTCTGGAAGTTCCAGAATAGTGGCGAAGTTTCATTGCGGCAGGTCAAAGCATATGTGCAAAGTCTGGAGTTTCTTGTTAAGTATGACATAAGCACATGTTTGAAGATTCTTGGTTTATAGATTGCAGTTGGTTCAAACTTTTTGAGCTGTATAAAGATGAAGAGAAGGAAAATTTGCTTTTGGTGACTTAGTTTCAGTAGCTCTGCAGCCACTGCCTTGGTAGGTAGCAATGCAGAATTTGCGCATTGCCAAAGACTTTCTCTTGGCTGATAATTTGCAGACAAAATCCCTGAAATTTGGTCATGATGTCAAAGTAGTGAGATGCAGTATATGCAAGCTTCTGCTTGTCATTGCTGACTACAGAGAGATTTGTAAATTGTAGAGGCAGAGATGATGCTTGCAGTAATTTCTAATTTGGGTCTAGAGAAATTGTAGAAAATGAGCACATCTGTTTTGAAACACAAGGTGATAAACTAGCCACCAGCTAAGGGGCAAATAGTTAGTTACTAAGATCTGATTATTTGCTGCCAACCCAACAATAGATATTAGCCGTTAAAATTTCTCTCTATTGGTGAAAGAAGTATTTGAGCCTACTTTGTTGTAAGTGGGGTTTGGCAAGAATAGAGTGTACGCAAATCTTACCTTTACCTTGTGTGAGGTAGAGAGTGATTCCAATAGACCTTCGGCTTAAAAAAAATATTTTCAAAACAAGTTTGAAAAATACATGAGTAAAGACGCTATAATGAAAATATTGAAGAAAAAAAAAAGTTGGTAGCAAAAATCGTAAGATAACCGAAGCAAAGGAACAACAACAACAATAATAAAATTGAAGAATAAAATAACAATAGAAAAATAGTAACAATACTAACAAGGAGAAGAGGGAGCAGAAAAAGTGTTCTAACCTAGACCACGGTCTCCCACAGAAAAGAGAGAAAACACTCGGCTACCTATCAGCTTTCTACCGTAATCCTCGACCTTCATGCTCTCCTATTTATGGTCATTGTCCTCGATGAACAGAAGATGTCTCATGTCCTGTCTAATCACCTCTCCCCAATTTTTCTTCGGTCTACCTCTACCTCTCCTTTATATCTATCACTAACAACCTCTCGACCTTCTTATTGAGGCATCTGTGCTCCTCCTCTTCATATGCCCGAACCACCTCAGCCTCGCTTCCCTTATCTTGTCCATCACGGAGGCCACTCCTACCTTGCCCCGCGTATATTTTCGTTCCTAATCTTATCTCTCCTAATATGCTCACACATCCTAAACATCATCATTTTCGCTGCTTTCGTCTTCTTCTGAACGTGTGAGTTCTTGACTAACTAACAACTCTGCCACATACAACATAGTTGGCCTACCAACCACTCTGTAGAACTTATCTTTAAGTCTTTATGGCAACATCGCATGCGAGCCTCCATTTCATCCGCTCTACTCTAATACGATGTATGATATCATCATTATTTTCATTTTTCTTGGATTGTCGAGCCAAGATAGTTGAAGCTTCCTCTCTTCAGGGATGACTTGTATATCAATTTTCACATCCACATCTGCCTCATGGGTAATTAGGCAAATTACGCATATTTGAGAGATGATGGTGGAATAAAAACGTCACCAAGAACCTCCAGTCCCTAGTGGGTGCGGTGCGGTGCGGTGGGGGTATGTGACATTCTATGCAAATACCACATTGGTGAAATATCAGAAAATTGTTGGATATAAAAACAAGCAGGTTTTAGACTCTGGTAATCCGTGCGGCCTAGGTCCAAAGCAGTATTAGTTACATATATATTAACACAAGGAAGCTTCACTTTAGTAAAAACAAGACAAAATATGTTTTAGGTCAAATGTCTTTTTTTTTTTTTTTTTTGCTGCCATATGTTGTATACTTGTACCAAGTACATGATAGTGACAGTATACATATTTCATTTAGGAAAAGAGAAAAAACATCTTGTTTATAAGAGAAAATTTTGTCAGTTAATAGGATTTATGAATTATGCAGTATGTAATTGTATTAATCCAACTTTTGTTGAACCTTAGAATGTTGACATGTGTATTAGGGTGTGCATTTTATTATTTGTTAGTGGGCATTGAGCACACGCGAGACTGAATAAATTTTGTTATCTGCTTATCCCTCTAGTCCAAAAAAATCTGTTTCAAAAGCCATAACAGAAGCTTTATTACTCAGTATATGCGCATAATAACAAGGTGGAAATCTAGTTATACAGCAAAAAACCTCTATCCCTTTTATTTAAAATGTAACTTAGGTAATGCCACAGCTGCAGACAAACTAAAAAAAAGGGGTGTGGGGGTGGGGGTGGGGGTTGTCTCATGTGACGGTAAACCTAAACATTGGTGGAATTAGCATTTATGAAGAGGAAACATCAAACTATTTATGGTTTAAAATGATGCCTAATATTTCCTATTACTTCTTACTCCTATCTACAAGCAAAGGAGCCTAAGCAGAAGTAGATTCAAAATTTAAACTTGATTTGAGATTTAATATTTTTAGCATTAAACTAATTGTACTTTTAAAATCTTAGGTTCAATTCAAATATAGTATTTGTTGAGATTTTAGTATATATATCTTTGATGCACGTCGAAAATACTAAGTTCGGACGAACATATTGTCGTCCAAGTTAACTACCCTTTAACTAACTATGCACTTTACAAAATGATATGTTTGGAATGTTTAAGCACATGAAAAGTTGATAATATATGCTATAAATTATAGTAATAGGTTGTGATTTGAACCTCGAACATTATTGTCTACTTTATATCGTGCAACTCAAATCCTGAAATAGTTTTATCACTTACTCTTATAATAATAGGTTTAATGTATGCATTTACATACCAAAATAGCATTGGTGTGAATATTTTGAGGATAATTAGTTGGGTTAGGACCAAATATTGTGATTGTTTTATATGTGAAGAACACATCATGATATCCGTCATGCTCCATAGTTTTAGAAGCCAATGGTAATGACATTTTTGTTCAATTATAAAAAAGAGTTGGATATTATACTTTTTCTTCCTTTTCCCCATATTTTAATGTGAAAATATTTTGAATACATAGCATATGTAATGTTGTATATCCAGTGGATATGCAGGTAAACACTAGGTGTGGACTGACCAATCATAAGCCAAATATTCCAGGCATTTTGGGCATCTACTCTGGATCAATCGACACCTGCCTTCCTCTTCTGCCACACAAAATTGCTTACTATTTTTAGGACCCACATAATAATTCATGATGCTTTTTTAATTTCTCCATTTCTTTTTCGTTTTCTTTCCTTTTATTTCTTTTTCTTTTTGGTCTTGGAGGGTAGGGGACAGACACCAGATGGCATATGCAAGAATTTTTTGGGTAACGCATTCGATCTGTTATCGCTACTCGACGTTTATGAGTTTGTTTTGGGTCATAGAGGTTCTAAGATCGTACCTTTTTCTCAAATTAATACTTATTATATATTATTACTTGGCGAATATATTTGGCAAAGCGCTATTGGATGATACACCTTACTTTTAACTTTCGAGTATTTCGTGCACCCACTATTTGATGTTAAAATTCCTTAATGATCCAATATGATGACAAGGCCGAATACCAAAAAGGCTGAACTTGAATTATTGCTTAAACACTATAACTTGTTATTAACATTTGGATTTCTTGAAGGGTCTCATTTCCGAAGTGGTTATAAAAAAACACTTTATATATTGGAGTGACTATTAATGTAATGGTTTTCGCGTTTTGCCCTCAATAAGAATTTGTAAAATAATACTATAAACAAGTCCCTTGTCGAAGGTGACATTGAGAGTGCAAAATGATGTCCTCTTTTTACTAGTATTAATTATTTTTGTGTCGTTTGTCTCCTATGTGGAAGAATAATCTTTCCCTAGTTTAATAACCCAATGACATTTTCTTAATGCAACTCCAACAAAAGTTGAAACTCATCATCAATTTCCACTTAATTAAACACCTCTTTTAATGATTTGGAAAGGCATCTCGAGCCTATATAATTCCGTCTTTTTTCTCTCTACTTCAAGCTCTTGCATTATATTTTCTAGACAGTGCTCAAATTAAGAGTTTAATTTGGACCTAAAAGATGTAAGATTTGAAAAGGTAATTTTTGAAGTTAAGCTGAAAAGAGGTATTTGAAAATTAAAATTGTATTTGGATCTGCATTTCACTTGAAAAATTGTTGATTTTGTGAGAGGAAAACCAGAGGCGGATCTAGGATTTAAAGTTTATGGGTTCCTATAACGACCTTAAGTAAATATACAATAAATAACTGGGTCACAATAAAATATTTATGGATATTTAGTGGATTTTTTAATACATATACATGGTATATGCAAAAACTACTGAGTTCACGGGAACCCACATTCAATAGGCTGAATTCGCCCCTGAGGAAAACATTATTTACTTGAAAATTAAGAGGTAAAAATTACGTTTTCAAATTTAAAACTCATCTTCAAAATTCTTTGAAAGTCATCTTAAAAATTCAGTTAAATGTATTATA